GTGAACTCCAGATCACTAAGCCTAAAGATCAAGTGGGGAATGGGAAGAAATACCAGCGTGGTCCAAACAGAATTGGCTGGTATCTCAATCGCCACAAAAAGAATAACCAGGAAAGGAATTTCTGGCAAAAACATAACAAACTACACTGACAGCAGATAAGCCCTATTAGCCTTGAACAGACAACGTATAACCTCAGGGTTAGTACTAGAGTGTGACCAAGATTTAGCCAAAGCCTCGGTAGATAAGAACATTATCCTGAGGTGGATTCAAGGGGCTCGACAGGAGTAAAGATAATCGTATTGCCGACTCTTTAGCCAAGGAAGCTGCTGGGCTAAGAATTTCAGGATCCAGTGGCACCTACGGTCTGATGACTTCAACAATTGCGGAAGTAGACAAATGTCACACCTACGCTCAATCCTCAGAGAGATGGGAAGCTGGCGCCAAAAGAATATCTGGCAATGTCCAGGAAAAATCTACGCTTAACAGTAGGATTTCTGACTGATCACTGTCAACTGAAGAAACACTTCCATAATATGGGAGAAGTGGACACACCCTTATGCAGAATGCGTGAACAGGAAGATGAGACTATCAGACACGTCCTATGCGAGTGCTTGGAGTTATCGTCAATAAGAGAGTGTGTGTTCGGCGAGTCTTGACCTACACCTGCCGATATAAAGGAGATGTCTCCCAGTGACCTATCCACCTTCCTGGAAAGGACAGGATGGACGATGACCTTGGAGAACAACTCCTCGGGAGGATGTACAATGGGTCACATGTGGCCTAAGTACGTGGGCTTACACTTACCCTCCCTACTCTACAGATACAGATGGGTGACATATGAAAGAAGTTCCCCAGTTGATATTTGTTATCGAAAGCCATACTGATGATCGCTCAAGATATTGAAGCCTTTCAAATATTCGAGAATATGGTGGTTCACGGATTTTTCAATGAGCTGAACACGAGCAATCTCCCAACAAGAATGAAAAACCCCAGGTTGAAAAGTCAGCAAAAAACTGGTGCGAATTCATTTGCGCACTTTTTAAGTACGATGACGGACACTTCATCAGCACCAGACGCCTTGTTGATATTGAGCTGTTTCAGAATTGGCTTGCCTATAAGTTTTCAGAGAGTAATTTCTGGCATTGTGGATTCCAGTGTGGGAATAGTGGCTGATGCCTTTCCCAAAAAATCTAATGTGGAGTGGGACAAAAATTGTTCAGCTAGTAGATTTGCTTTCCATGGCTGCTGTTGCAATTGAACTATACGCTTGTTTCAGTGGTACAGCAGATCTGTGATGTCAAACTTTGCGCGGCTCAGATTGTTCCTCAACATTTATCAGCAATTCACTCAACACTGAAATCAATTTGTGATCAGAAGAGTCCTAACGGTGACTGTGTGAATTTCTGGATTAGTTGCTAGATATAGATCCAGAAGACTAGCACATTCTCCATCACGGTCAGGAATCCTGGTTGGCTCATGTTTAATCCGATAAAATCGGCTGCTTATTGCAAAAGCCTCAGCTTCATGACCTTGTTCGTCGTTGAAATTTCCTTGAAGGAAGTTTGTTATGAAATTACAATTTTTAAAAAAATCCTCATTATCTATATTATTATGTATATACCAACATTTTCAAAGTATTGAATTCGTCACTGAAATCCCTCAATTTCCATTTGTTTCCAATCCATACTTTTTCTGGCAACTTTTCTCGAATAAGTTTGTCTTTTAAGGAACGTTGAGCCCAGCAGTCCGTACGTGTATAGTCCCCACATTTTTCTAACGGGTAAGATATCTGACTCGGACAAAATATTTGTGAAAGTTATTTAATTTACAGTACTTTTATGAAAAGAAGCTAATAGTGTGACATCACTTTCCGCTGAGAGGGCACTATAAATTTTTTTCAAATGAAAATGGTGGTTAGTAACATTTTTTGCAATAAATAAGTGTTAATTTCAAGGGAATAGAACGAGATTATTTCATTTTAACTGATAAAGATTGCTTTTCACACATTTTTTTCCGACCCTGACCATGCTGACTTTGCTGTATATTCGTCAGCCACTGAATATGAAACATATATGAAACTGAGCTTTGTAGAAGTGCTAAGAGCAACAAAGGTGTTTCACCAATTAAATTTGCAGAGATGAATGATGCTGATCTAGAATTAAATACAGTTCCCATTGGTTATGCTGAAACCAATCAATTACACAAGAATTTTATAAGAGAAACAGACAAAGTCATTTCTGTTAACGATTTGTTTGAAAAGGAACACAGAAAATTGAACTATATGCAGAGAGAAATTACCAGTTAGAGATGATTCAGTTCCCATTGAACACTTCTTCTAGTAATATAAAACCGAGAAAAAAAGAGTCATTTTTTTTTCGGAGCTGAATTTGAAACTGAAACTCGTTCAGCAGCAGTAAGAATTAGATGAGCAAGAAACACTAGAAAAATTGAAAGCTATCGAAAAAAGAAAAAATGATGTACATTTTTGTCTGAACTGATTTTATAATAAAACTCAACGTTTCGTTGAAAATTACGACCTTTGACCCCTAGTAATTTTTTTCCAGGTATTTATGAGGGTGTTTTGAACAATCCTGCCAACTTTGAGTTGCGTTCGAATTTTTATACCCTCAGATGTCTGAAATTATCGGATAACTACTGATGTGAAGACTTGAATTGTTCATGGGGTAGACAGACTATTCACTTTTTTAAAACAATTCTTCATTGAAAATGTGAAAGTCAAGTCACATTTGAAACGGTATAAAATAGATTTATGCCAACAGGAAGTTTCAACACTTGCCCTGTTCGAAAGTTGAAAGGAAAATACAATTCATGTCCGCTCTGTATATATTTTGCATATAGCAATATTTATATGGTCTAAAAAACAATTATCATGCTACATATCATTCAAAGAAATATTTTTGATATACGGGGCTATTCAAATTCGTTTCTGTACATGGGGATCTCGTAAACGATACGAGATAGAGTATTGGTTGGATTATGGCAAAGTTGTGTATTTAAGAGACCTTTTGGTTCTGGAGATATACAGGAAAAACCAAAAATTCCCAAATTATTTTTTGCCTTTATATTCTTTAATCGCAGACATATTGAAAATCTGTTCACATTTTGCCATTAGAACTTGATGTGGGCTTTCACAATATACTCATGAATATTTCATATAGGGTGTCATCTGACTTGGGCCACCCCCATCGTTGAATTTTTAAATACGGACTTGTATTTTTTGTTGTAGTTTTTAGATCGTAGACGTTCACTTCATACTGAGAAATTGAATTTCATTTTATATTTGTAGATGTTTCGGTAATATTTGATTATACTTGGGTGAATTATTTCCTTTTGAATTACGGCCTTGGAAATTTGTTAACTCAGTTAAATAAAAACATAATAGCAACTTTCACGTCTCCCTATGTACCACAGAGTTTTCAGAGAGTTTTTTCTCCCATTTTTAGACACCTATTCATATTTTCTCATATTTCCATTGCTCTGAGCATTTTCTACAATGAACTTCGAATAAGAAAACCTTTTATGACTGTCTGATACATATCTACAACAGATATATTATAATCTGTTTTGATGAGCAGAAAAAGAAATGATAGCAATAATAACATCCAAAACCAACATTATAATTGTAATGAAAATTGAAATGAAATAATTCATATAAACAAAAAAATTAATGGCGCAATAATTGTTCGGATTGGAGTCCTTCCATTTCGAGACAAATATTGGGCCAATAGAATGGCCTGCAAGATCACTAGATCTTACTATTTTGATTAATTGATGGACGTAGCCGTTACTACGTGCTAAGAGATCATGATGAAGAGAGAAATGAAAAATGGCTATATTTTTTACCACTTCTAATTGTAACTAACGTTACTGCAGTTTCGTCCTATATGGACATTCTCAAACTTATACAATAAACAAGTAACGTTGGTTACAATTAAAAGTGGAAAAAAATATAGAAATTTTTCATTTCTCTTTTCCTTTCTATTTTGGACTATTTTCTATGGCGGACATTGAAAAATAGGATTTACGCTGGCAGAGAGATGGAAAATGTGGAAGACTCGAGATTGAGGATTTTGAATGATTTCGCAACAATGCAGCAAATAAGTGTGTTGATAAATAATTTGAAAAACAGAGTTCAAAAATGTCTTGAAATGGAAGGACTCCAATTCCAACATTCATTGCGCCAATAATTTTTTGTGTAGGTATATAAATTACTTTTTTTCAATTTTCATTACAATTACCTATAGTGTTCGTTTTGGATGTTATTATTGCTATAATTTTTGTTTCTGCTTATTAAAACACATTTAATATATTTTTGATGTAGATATGTTTTAGATAACCATGAAAGGTTTTCAGCAATGAAAAAAATGAATAGGTACCTAAAAATGAAAAAAAATCTCGAAAAACTCTACGGTACATAGGGAGACGTGGAAGTTGGTTTTGGGTTTTTATTCAACTCAGTCAACCAATTTCCAGGTCCGTAATTCAAAAGGGAATAATTCACAAAATCATAATCAAATATTACCCAAACACCACGAAATATATAATTCAATTCGATTTCTCAGTAAGAGAAAATGCAACAAAAATTGCAACACAAAATACAGGTCAGTATTTAAAAATTCAAAGATGGGGGTGGCCCAAGTCAGATGACACCCTGTATAAAAAATTCATGGACATATTCTGATAGCCCGTATCAAGTGCCAATATCAAACTGTGGACAGATTTTCAATATGTCTGCGAATAAAGAAGATATAGGCAAAAATATAATTTCGGATTTTTTGGTTTTTTCTGTATATCTCCAGAACCAAGAGAGCTATATTCGATTTTTTTACATCATTAAATAGGTCTCTGGAATACAAAACTTTGCTATAATTTATCGGCCCTCTATCTCTTATAGTTTACGAGATCTCGAAACGAATTTGAATAGCCCTGTATAAAACTTCAAGATCATCATATTACTGACTTTTCCATATTTGTTCCAGGCGTGCAATCTTGAGTAACCCCGACCTGCTTCCCAAAACCCCATGGACTCGAATGTTGGAAAACGACTTCTGGGGTACTCCTTTGAGCAACAGTGGATCCCATGGATCGTACCGCCCGTTATGTGTCCTGACTTTCCGCCTGAACTATCTACTGGGCGGTTTCCAACCGTGGGGCTACCACCTGGTGAACGTGCTACTCCACTGCACAGCTACAGCTCTGCTCATACGACTAGCAAAACTGATCCTACCGAAGGCAAAATCGAAAGTTGGAGCTACTATTACTGGGCTAGTTTTCGCCACTCACCCTATACACACCGAGACAGTGGCTGGAGTGGTGGGTAGGGCAGATTTGGCAGCTTGCAACTTCTATTTTCTGTCACTGTTAGCTTATATCGCGCATGTCAAATATAGAGACGTGTTGTGCTGCCCAGTTTATCGTAAAAAACACGTAGCTCCAAGAGCTGACACGAAGCGGTATCACAGGTTCGTGTATGCACTGCAGAAAAACGTGACTAGCTGTAACTGGCCCAAAAGGCACTTGAGAGACTTTGAACATTCGGATAGAAATGTTTCTATAACTAGTGTTTTAGTGAAGACTTCGGAAAAGGGACAAGAGACATGTGTGTGCTGTTGGAAGAACAACATGAAACTGTGGATATATTTTGCTTTGTGTTTATTACTTGCTGTCGCTGCAATGTTGAGCAAAGAAACTGGAATCACCGTGTTGGGGATTTGCTTCGTTTATGATTTAGTGTATTCATCTCCAGGTCAGAAGGTAAGAAGGAGTTTATTTCTCTTATATTTGATCGAGCTTTTTTGTGTTGTACATACTTTCCACTAAATACACTTTGGATAATATGATCTTAGGAACCTAAGATCTGTCCCCTAGTTTATAATAATGCAAGGTAAGGTAAGGTAAGGTAATGCAGAGAGGTAATAATAATAATAATAATAGCCTTTATTGTCCAACAGTTTCCCATTTACAGGACAATATTAAACAATAACGAAACATAAAATGGTGTGTATGAGTAAATTAATTAATGATATTTAGTAGATTAAACAATAATTAAATTAACATATCAAAAATTAACGAAATATCGATATAACAATGCTGTTTAATTTTTCATCACCGAGATGAGTTCCTTAATAGAACACGAATGAATGTCAATTCGATTGCTAATTTTATTGAATTCACTACACATTATATAAAGTGGAGATTTCAATTGCATATTTGTTCTTTGTTCTTATTCTTGGAAGTTTATTCTCGTTTTTAAACATAAATTAAAGATCTTAGTTAAAACAACAGTGAGACAACCAGAACAGTCCCTGATGAAGAAAGAAGGTATGTTATCTGGACTAGATGTCATTTTGTCCTTCATTTTCTTCAGAGCACTTACATCCTCAACTTCTTCAATTGGATAGAAATTAATACAAACGTGATTCTGGTCATTATATTTGGCAATTGTATTCCGTTCTGGAGGTGAGGTAAAGTAGAAAGTATATTATAGGTTTTGGTAATTTTTGGGTTGGCAGGAATGCATAAACAAATATTGACATTCCATTTCCATAATCTTGACAGCAGCAATCACTCATATGAAATAAATAACTTCATTTCTATATATTTTCAATTTCAACAATTCACTTTACTGGAGTGTTATAGCCAATTTCTCTTCTGGAGATATCGATCCATATCTTTTTTTTTTAACAATGAAGGCGCTAACAATTTCATTAAATGTTCAAAACATATTTTGTTCATTCTTGTGTACAAAAATTGATCATCATTTTTCATTCTTTTAAATAACTGAAATTGCCCCTGAGTCTTTCTGCTTCTCAGAGTGGGTCTGACATTAAACCTCCTCCATTTTCGATTCTTTCTCTTGAGTAAAAGATAGACACTTACTATTGACACGATCGCGGCAATTTTTGTATTTATATCCTTCAAAAGAAAAATCAAATTTCACAATGTGACGTTTAACTTTATCTGGTGACATTACTTCTACACCATTCGGATATATCCATCAAAGTTCGTAGTATGGCGCTTTCTGATTGGTCGGAAGTAAGAACGCAACGCAGAAAGTTGAAATCAGTCAACTTTTTACCTTGCGTTACCGACGTTACCTTACCTTACTTTTTATCTAGAACGCAAGTGTGTTTTCTCAATACTTCAACTTTCTTACCTTACCATACCTCTTGGCAGTTCAACTCATAGTTCTTCGCGGAATATATGCTTTTGTGGAATTTACGTATAATACGCCATAAGTCTTGTACAACATTACCCAAACGGGCTATCCAAAAAATAAAACATGTTGACCGAAAGATTTGATTTATTGGGTTCGTTAGATGAAATATGCATAAAAACCCTGGCGTTTGAACCGACTCGCTTCCGTTTTGTCAAAAACTCTCGACGCGAGAACTGGGATTGACCCAACTTTGTACACATGTGATAGATTGAGCAAAAAAAAAACTAATCAATATAGTTTATTGTATGATTTTCACTATATTCACTATATTTCACTTCATAGTGAAAATCATACAATAAACTATATTGATTAGTTTATTTCAATATGGATTTTCATCAAGTATCGGTCAGTTCTATTCAATGATTGTGCAAGATTTGAAATCTATCGCGCGTGTTTTGTATAGGTCTTCAAATCATGTACCATGATGTAATAAACATCTTCAGCCATTTTTTTACAAAATGTAAAAACATTGGAAATTGTAGTGGCAGCATCTCTGTGAATGAATCGCTAAAATTCATTGGATATATTTATTATTTCTTTATCAAAAGTGCCGTAGATTGAGGGATTTTTACAAAATTATACATAGGGAAGGGGTCCAGATAAAATCAATACGAATGACGTGTCGAAATAATTTCCATTTCAAATACTGCCAACATTGCTGAAACGAGAAAAACATGCTGGCATACAGGCTGATTCACGGTGGATGGCACATTAGACGTTTCTGGTGAACCAGACAACGGATCACTCTGAAAATTCAATGGACGGCATATTCGGACATTCTCTAGCCAACTAAAATATTTTCGAAACGTTACTTCTGAAATTGAAAGATGTTTGTTCTCTGAGGAAAGATGATTCAGAATGGAGCTGATGAACCCACAGATATTGTTTTAGGACAAAGATGCATACTGTTTTGAAATATATCTTAAAGCGGGATCTCTTTTGGAATTGAACTGTTTATAAGCTCAAGGTTCGTTCACGAAAAATCAACCGAATCAACTGTGTATTCAATATATATATATCTATCTATAGATATGTATTGAATTGTTATCAAATGGATGATACATCAGGAATACAAACATTTTGGACATCATCATGACAACTTCTGCACCATCAATACAAAATAAATGTCATTGTCGCTTATTTCGTAGGTATTTGAGACAGTACACGTATTTTCAGGGTATATTTCATATTGTTTTCTGCATTTTCTGAATCTCTTCAAAAAGTTTATTCTCAGGAGGCTCAAAGTGCAGCGCATAATGCGTTGAAGTCGACCTACCATTACACTTTTCCTCATTACTGAAACTCCATTGATTTTAGGTCTAGTTCACTTATTAAAGAAAATCACATTCAACTTTTCTCGGACTTTTTCGCAAAAATTCGCTGAAGCCTCATTTAACTGAAAGCATATTTCATTATAGATGTGACTGCCATTCTGAAAATAATCGATCAACCTAGGAAAGTTTTTTTTGAGGAATCGAAAGAACTTTCTATTCAACTTTCGTTCTGATGTGATGATTATCCACAATACCACCTCATATATGAGGAATTCCATTCATGTTGATTTTCAACCCGCAGTTTTCAGCATATGAGTAAATCAACAGAAGACAAAAAGTTTGTATTGAATATCAAGCAGAAATTTTTCACTTTGACATAGCTGAAACTAATAAACGAGTCCCACAAGGAAGTGTGCTCGGTCCTTTGTTGTTCATCATTGATTTTGATGATTTTCCTGGAATTTTTTTAAATACCAACACCAGATTTCCAGTCATGCCGATGATTTAATTCTCGTTTCACCTCATAACTGAAACATGAATTTGAAAAGTAATATATTGAATGTTGTGTCTGCATCCTCAACATATTTTATTCAAAATAAATTTTCTTGAATAGAGCCAGAATTAATTGTGTAGTTTTCAGAATAGTTGATAACTCCAACTCCAGAGTTTGTGAAGATGGACCCTGAGAAGTTATATTTTTCATAATGAACAAAAGTGTTAAGGGTCTATCTAGATAACAAATTAAATGTCAATGAGCATATTGATCATCTTTCAGAAAAACTTGCTAGAAAATGTTGATTTTTGGGACTTCAAATAACAAAAACGTTTCTTTCGAAGGTGCTCCAGTTGGTGAACATGATGGTCCTCAAAAGTTTGTCATTCTTCGAACAGCTAACAGACTAACAGTTTAGTGGTTTCCAACAGACAAATCTGTTTTAGCGCAATTTTTTTTTCGGGCGCGTTCTATATCATTGTTAAGCTACATTTTAAAAACAGGGTTAGTCAGTGGATATCGAAGGTGATTGTTGGAAAAACGTTTTGATGGTTACTTGTAGACGCAGGAATATTCTGCTGACTTTTTGGTAGGAGTTATGATGAGCACGTGAAGAAAGGTGATATCTTTGAAAAGGTTCAAGATATCGTGGGTTGATTGATCTGGAAATGCACACATCGCATCGACAAAATATTTCGTATCGATTGTAGATGGAATCAAGAATATGTACAGGCAGTTGAAGATTCCAATATAATGAATGGGCTTCACAGTCTTCAGTATCGTAGAAAACATTGGACATAGATTATTCCATGAAAATAATTTGACTCTCTCAGCTTCCTTGTTTTCATCGAATTTGATTCTCAGGAATTCAACACAATATATCAGGAGTAGGTTAAGAATCACACGTTGGAAGGTGATACCTCGTTAGTCCTCACCTCGCACAAGTTTTGACTTCTGAGGGCTATCGTTCATAGGGGTGCGGTAGCTGGTTGAAGAAAAAACATATTTCAAACCACACATTATCAGTTTGAAAATATGATGTGGTGTTTCACACATCACATTCTATGTTGAAACAATTTTTATGAATTGAAAGAGTTCGCTATAAAAATATTGAAGCTGGTGATAACATACTCTATTCCACTCTAGGACTTTCATTTTTAACGAATGTTACAGTGAATGGGGCTATATTCATAATGAAAATCCACCCCAGTGCGTCCAATTCTATTCGACGAAACCAGTTCATAGTGAACTCGGAATCCGTATTGATTTTCAATTTGGGTATTTCAAATAATAGATATAATATATTTGGGCAAGACCTTCGCAATAATTGATGTGAAGCTTTTTCATCTACATGGATTTCATATCCAAATGATATCGGATCGATATGAATATCATACTTTCATAAAAATTAATGAGAGCATGTACGAGTAGTATGACTGCTGTGAAAATTAGATGGTTTTCTTTAATGTTCTTTTCATTTCCGATTATTTCACACAGTGTAAAATATTTGTTTATATCGAAACTAACTGTCATTTCAATCAATATATTCATCAATGTTTTCAATTCATCACAACTCCATGATACTCAGAAAAAGAAAATATTTTCATTCACATTATTCATGTTGGAATTAGGTAAGGTTGGGTACAAAGTGATTGAGTCTATTTGACCCTTCACTGCAACCCGCAAGGGCTCATTGTGGCTCACCCTATTGACACTCGACACTTGACTTCTCCACAAATCCGATTAGTTTATACGGTGATTGGTTTTT